GTTGTTCATCTTTAGAACTAATGGCACCTCACAGAAACATGATTTCTTCCTGTTGTTGTTCATCTTTAGAACTAATGGCACCTCACAGAAACATGATTTCTTCCTGTTGTTGTTCATCTTTAGAACTAATGGCACCTCACAGAAACATGATTTCTTCCTGTTGTTCATCTTTAGAACTAATGGCACCTCACAGAAACATGATTTCTTCCTGTTGTTGTTCATCTTTAGAACTAATGGCACCTCACAGAAACATGATTTCTTCCTGTTGTTGTTCATCTTTAGAACTAATGGCACCTCACAGAAACATGATTTCTTCCTGTTGTTGTTCATCTTTAGAACTAATGGCACCTCACAGAAACACTATTTCTTCCTGTTGTTGTTCATCTTTAGAACTAATGGCACCTCACAGAAACATGATTTCTTCCTGTTGTTGTTCATCTTTAGAACTAATGGCACATCACAGAAACATGATTTCTTCCTGTTGTTGTTCATCTTTAGAACTAATGGCACCTCACAGAAACATAATTTCTTCCTGTTGTTGTTCATCTTTAGAACTAATGGCACCTCACAGAAACATGATTTCTTCCTGTTGTTCATCTTTAGAACTAATGGCACCTCACAGAAACATGATTTCTTCCTGTTGTTGTTCATCTTTAGAACTAATGGCACCTCACAGAAACATGATTTCTTCCTGTTGTTGTTCATCTTTAGAACTAATGGCACCTCACAGAAACATGATTTCTTCCTGTTGTTGTTCATCTTTAGAACTAATGGCACCTCACAGAAACATGATTTCTTCCTGTTGTTGTTCATCTTTAGAACTAATGGCACCTCACAGAAACATGATTTCTTCCTGTTGTTCATCTTTAGAACTAATGGCACCTCACAGAAACATGATTTCTTCCTGTTGTTGTTCATCTTTAGAACTAATGGCACCTCACAGAAACATGATTTCTTCCTGTTGTTGTTCATCTTTAGAACTAATGGCACCTCACAGAAACATGATTTCTTCCTGTTGTTGTTGAATGTGATTCTTTCCAGTCCAGATAGCAGCACGATATTTATTAACTGCTTCAACAAGCAACAATTCAACAAGAAAATGGAAGTCTGCTTCAGGCATCAGAAAATCAAAAACATGGATATATTGTATCACCATCGTGTGGTTTCAATGTACACATTTATATAAAAAAAAAAAAAAAAAAAAACCCCCGTGTGGGTTCCGGGGCCCCATTGTGGGGAAAACAAGAATAGACCCACTGCCTCCCCAAAAGCATGTCGTAAGAGTCGACTAATTGGGGAGCTTCCTTTGAAGTCGGAGTGCATCTGCCGGAGAGGCAAGGAACCAACAGTCTGTATTCAAGAGAATGAGATCTGTAAAACTGATGCACACGCAACACTCAGGTTCTGGAGCAGGACTGCAGTCCAGTAGTGGACGAGCAACCAGAACCTTCCGCCAGAGTTTACAGCTGGTGAACGCGAAGAAGAAGAAGAAGAAGATTAAAAAAAAAATATGCAGACCAGTCAGTAATTTAATATTACCAACTTTACTGCGGGCCATACAGAAAAAATCCATTATAAGCCTTACACCCAGATTTCCTCTTAAGTTTTTTGTGGGGAAAAACTGCAATCCCTCACTACGCTTCTGGCCAACTACACCCACCAGAAGTTTGCAAAACCATTCATTTGAACACTTTGTTTGTGTGACACACCTTTACACGGCAGCCAACACATTAATGTGGCGCGATACAGTTTGGAAAGCTTTGCCGCAATGTGAAAGGAATAGCGTTACCATGCACATACAGTCGAGTCCACTTAAGTCGAACTCGGATAAGTCGAATTTCGGCTAAGTCGACATGACCAGCTTAGTCCCGGCAATTTTCTCTATTGAGTGTACTGTCTGGATGAGAAGAAATCCTGATAAGTGGAAGCCTTTTCTTAGGTCCCTGCAACTTCTACTTATCCAGACTCGACTGTATAAACAAAACAGGGGGGACTGCAGTCAAGCTAATATCAAGGAATTCATCCAGTGAACTGTGTAACATCTCTCTGATACTGACAAGTGGACACTTAAACCAATCCCTCTCCACTTTAACAGCTCTGACCACAGAGGCAAAGATGATATATCTGCCACAGCAATTAAATCTTTCTCTGGAGATCATACCATGCGCCTCGCTTTGGAAAATCCTCTCATCCACAGTCTATGTATTCTAAGTCCAAGAGGCATCAATGTCCAGCATACCTTCATCTGAATAGTTTTACTATTGCTATTGACATATTATTTTTATTTTACTGTATTATTTTTCTTCTTCTTTTCTCTACTCCTGGAATGCCTCAAGGCATCAGTGGAGGAAAAGATCTTCAGAACATAGCATTATTTTTATTCGTATTTTATTTCATATTATTACTTTATTCCAACTCTTATTTGTATCATTTATGGATCATTAACAGTTATATTTCTAATACTCTTTTATTCTTACTATTTATTTTACATATTGTCACTTACTTTTACAACTATCTTTTGAGCCTTTAATTATTTTATTTCATTCACCACCATTTCTATAGTTTCTCATGTGGTTCTTAGGTGACTGGAGTAGTCTTCCCTTTGTTACTGTTGTGTTGTTCAGTTTATATTGAGAAGGGCCCCGGTGAAAAAGTCGGTTTGTGTTGTGCTGCTTCCCCATTCCGTTAAGCTTTTTTGTCACAGTTCACTGGATTTATATATGAACCAAACTCTTCATTTCCCCTCATCTCATTCACTGATGCTGTCATCAGGTGGAAACTTTGACTGAGCAATCCTTGAAGGCAAGATGTTATTTATTTGTTCTCATGTTTTAGGTCAAACAAACTACAGTCACACTGACAGAATATGTACAAAGCCAGCACACAAACACTCACAGCCAACACTTTGTTATGTTGCTTCAACACATCAATAAATATACACACAAATGGTTTGCAGCTGTCTCCAGAAGTAAATCCACAAAAGAAAGTTTATACTCCTGTAAATTTCATAGTTTTTTCAAGTTTTCGTGGAGCTAATCTGTGCTGGGAAAATATTTTACCATCTCGGAGATGCTCCAAAAGGCACTTTTTTGTTAACTAAAACTCCTAGCATTTCAGCATCCGCTAGTGCTTGTGTCATTTACAAGGATCAAAGTCAATGGACACTTGTCTAGACTACAAAATATACAATGTGCAGGCTATTGTTTTAAACAAATGTTCCCTCTAAAAGATAACAACCAGTTGTCTATGTCAGAAAACAAAACTGACTGACACACAAAGGATCCCATCCCCAGGCAGCGTACATGATCAGAACAGGCTACAAGAGAATAAAGCTACAGACAGGACCAAAGTCTGAGACACTACTTGCTGAATAAGCTAAAGACAGGACCAAAGTCTGAGACATTACTTGCTGAATAAGCTATGGACAGGACCAAAGTCTGAGACACTACTTGCTGAATAAGCTACAGACAGGACCAAATCTGAGACATTACTTGCTGAATAAGCTATGGACAGGACCAAAGTATGAGACATTGCTTGCTGAATAAGCTATAGACAGGACCAAAGTCTGAGACATTACTTGCTGAATAAGCTATGGACAGGAACAAAGTCTGAGACATTACTTGCTGAATAAGCTATGGACAGGACCAAAGTATGAGACATTACTTGCTGAATAAGCTATAGACAGGACCAAAGTCTGAGACATTAGTTGTTCAAACTATGCTCAGCAGTTAAGATTCCAACTCCTAAACATATTCAGGAAGCATACTTTACAGATAAATTTACAAGCACAGTCCACCCAGTAATGCTGGCATCATTTCCCTCCTACCCAGTAATGCTGGCATCATTTCACTCTTACAAAATATTTTTGCCAAACTTAACATGGGAGGCTCTTAAACACCCATACTGGTTCAGTACTGAATTGCAAGCCCGTGAAGTGACCTAATCCATGACTGATAAGAAACATAATAGACCCCAAACAATATTTACACGTCTCTTCCCATATGGGTTCCAGAACCCCCCTTGGAAGAAAAAAATAGCCCAAGTACCAAGTATGTCCTAAAAGGTTACAAATTCTGAGACTGCTGAAATCATATGTGTTAGGTTAAAATGGGTGAAAAGATGTAGATATCACAGCCTAGTTGTAAACCTCAACATAATGTGACAACTGTCTTGTTAAGGTAAACACAGATAGAGAAGAAGGTACTCCTCAATACATCTGTCTTAGCCTTTAGTCAGCAAAAGAATCCATTCAAGGTCGACTACCACACTTGTGACTAAGAATAAGTAACCATGCTTTGTCCCTCGACAGCGCAGAAATGATGGAACAGATGTGAGAGCTATGGCTGACTGTATCAGGTCTGTGTATGTAGAGACTAAACTAATAAACAACTGAACATGTTTTGCATGACTGCCCTCTACACAGAGAGCTAAGAAAGTTACACTGGCCCACTAAATCCCCACTAGACTCCCAGCTGTACGGATCTAAGCAGGAACCACAACATAACTGTTCAACAGTGGTTTTATTTCAACAGCTGAAATCAGTGAGGTCCTCACTGACCAGCACACAGATGAATGTGACATCACAAACATGTGATCCCTGACAAGTGACATCACAAACATGTGACCCCTGACAAGGGACATCACAAACATGTGAACACACCCCCACAAGACCCTGCTGTCAAAGACACACAAGTAAATCTCTCTCCAGCCCATGTTTTATGCTTCTGCACTGCTACCTAACTATGTGCATAACTCCAGAAGCCGATGTCAGATTTCACCAAAGCAGTTTGGGTTATCATATGTACGATTAGTTCCCAATATCTTTACACTGACTCCATTCACTGTCAGACCTAATGTTTATGACATGTGTGTAAGTAAAACATCCAAATGACCCCAAATCTCCAACAGCCAGCAGACGTTTGTTTGCAGTTCCCCTCAGTGCTGGACACATCCACCAAACTCAAGTGTCCACATATTGCTGGGGGAAGCACGAGCCAGTGCTAGGACATTTCTTCCTCTTCCTCAACAGTGGCTGGTAATGTGGCAATGTAGGCGTCGCTCTGTGGTAAACAAATAACAACAGTGAAATTAACAGGAGGATGCCAGGAATAATGATGGGCTTTAAACGTAACAAACAGTGAAATTAACAGGATGATGCCAGGAATAAAGAGGGGCCTTAAATGTAACAAACAGTAAAATTAACAGGATGATGCCAGGAATAATGATGGGCTTCAAATGTAACAAATATCAGAAAATGGAGTGTGAGCATTTATTGTGTTAGCTGTGACAAAAATTAAAATCTGGGTTCTCTAATTAGCACCAGAGGTGCTGCTACTTAATATTTCTTTCATCTCTCTATAATGGGGGGTACCATGTCATGTGTGCTCTCTAGCTTCAACATTGTACTTTCTGTATGCATCATTGTTCTCTTTGTGAATTTCTTTTGGTACTAGAAGACAGTTAAATCAGTTACAGATCATTTTTCTTCACTTGCTACCCAAAGAGTTAAAGGTTAGAAGGATCATAGCACAAGCCATACTTTTCACCAACGTCATCACTCACCTCTGGAAACAAACATGGAACCTGATGATGCTCTACATGTATGGAAATGTCTGTGCCAGGGGATACAGCCTCATGGCCAGTGAGAGGAGCACCCATTCCAGGGCCAGGAGCCCCTGCAGGACCATGTGCCAACTCTCCACCAATCCGGGACATCTGCTGAGTGATGCCCAGAAGGCCTCCATCTGCCACCACCACCTGCACTTTTATCACTTCTGCAATACAGAAAAAAAAATAAAACCCAATTATTTTTGTATTGTATCTAGTTTTCCAAGGAAAACATAAGTTCATTGAGTGGCCTGTAACAAGAGCATATCAGTTCTCATACAAATAAACACAGACTGAAACAAAAGTACCCCATATAAAAACTGTAAGTGTCTGCAGCAGTTAGTGGAGGAAGAGGTATGGTCAGGTCAGTTAAACTGACGGTGCTCCATTCCAGAGACAATGAGACAAAGGAGTCAGACATACAAATGTGCTACATTCCAGAGACAATTAGACAAAGGAGTCAGACATACAAATGTGCTCCATTCCAGAGACAATGAGACAAAGGAGTCAGACATACAAATGTGCTCCATTCCAGAGACAATGAGACAAAGGAGTCAGACATACAAATGTGCTGCTTTCCAGAGATAATGAGACAAAGGAGTCAGACATACAAATGTGCTCCATTCCACAGACAATGAGACAAAGGAGTCAGACATATGAATGTGCTCCCCTCCACAGACAATGAGACAAAGGAGTCAGACATATGATTGTGCTCCAGTCCACAGACAATGAGACAAAGGAGTCAAGACATACTGAATGTGCTCCAGTCCAGAGACAATGAGACAAAGGAGTCAGACATATGAATGTGCTCCACTCCACAGACAATGAGACAAAGGAGTCAGACGTCCTCAATGTGCTTCATTCCACAGACAATGAGACAAATGAGTCGGTGACGAAGAATTTTCTGTTGGAAATTGGTATTAAACAAGAACAAGCATGCAGAAATCTAATGCAGGGCAAAAAGAGAAGATGTGCTATTACTGGCTACTTTGAGCATAGAGACACTGAGATGGCTGCTGAATTGGAGGACTGAGCATGGATGGGACAGACTGATGTGTTAGGATGTCGATAAGGACAACAAGTAAATATTGACAGATAATTACAGAGACCACATTCCAGTTGACATTATTCATTTACATGTTCACAGGCGCACATAAAAAACATGCAGAAATAGATGTACCAAGACAGATTAGACATGGACACACAAACTTACAGACAAATACAGATACAAAAATTGTCTCACACTACAACAAAATTTTACAACCAGACAAATATGTTCATACACACACCAGACACCTGTGGAGACAAGACAGACACCTGCACACAAACTCAAAACTACAGTAGAAAATGAATGAATCAAGAACTGACATTAATGCACTCAGGACATTCCCACAAGTGCTCTGTCCCTTTGTTCAGTAACCAACCAAGAATTGACATGCTAATAGTTCCAGCTGCAAACTGATTAAAACCTGTCACTGTTTTCCCTTCAATGTTGAACATCTATCATTTAGTCATTCAGTGTATGGATTCCCTAGCAATAAGTCTTTCAGTGTATGGATTCCCTAGCAATAAGTCTTTCAGTGTATGGATTCCCTAGCAATAAGTCTTTCAGTGTATGGATTCCTTAGCAATTAGTCTTTTAGTGCATGGATTCCCTAGCAATCAGTCTTTCAGTGTATGGATTCCCTAGCAATAAGTCTTTCAGTGTATGGATTCCCTAGCAATTAGTCTTTCAGTGTATGGATTCCCTAGCAGTCTTTCAGTGTATGGATTCCCTAGCAATTAGTCTTTTAGTGCATAGATTCCCTAGCAATCAGTCTTTCAGTGTATGGATTCCCTAGCAATAAGTCTTTCAGTGTATGGATTCCCTAGAATAAGTCTTTCAGTGTATGGATTCCCTAGCAGTCTTTCAGTGTATGGATTCCTTAGCAATCAGTCTTTCAGTGTATGGATTCCCTAGCAATCAGTCTTTCAGTGTATGGATTCCCTAGCAATCAGTCTTTCAGTGTATGCACACCCTATCAATTAGTCTTTTAGTGTATGGAATCCCTATTAATTAGTCTTGACCTTTGCTCAACCAGCATTTCTACAGTAATCTGTATATTTTGGAGAATAAATGCACACACATAAAATTTATTAGGGACCTGTGCAAAAATATTCATTTTTTTTTTAAAAGTATTGGGGGGGGGGGGGGGGGGGGGTGTCACATTTCCCTGGGTTGTTGACACACTGTTATGATCCTGGGATGAAAGGGTGAAAAGAGCAGCTGTAAGAATGTTTGTGGTTTACACCTAGACTGGCATACCTGCACCTTTCAGCAAATGATACATCCAATTATAGCAAATCCTCAACACTTGCTGACCAACTTAGACGATCTGTAAATTTGTGACACGCAGCCTGCAAACGGACAGCCTTACTGACAGGTTTTGAACTGAGCTTCAGCAGAGCATTTTTAAATTTTCCAAAATGGCTGCGCCTACGATCGATATTGCTATGAGCTGACACAGGGATTGTTTTCAGTGAAATTTTGATAATTTTTATTACAAGCGCATATTCAGCCTTTTTGTCTTGTCTGATAACGAAAACCAGACTAGTAGTAGTGATGATTCGGAATCTGCCAGTGAATTTAGCCATGAAAACGATAATTCCTGGATAAGTAGAGATTCAACTGAAAGTAGCGACAACGACAATGATAGATAAACTCGATGATGGAGGTGATGTTGATACATCTGAAGAAAGAAGTGGGTGTGGCACAAGAGACCAGAATATTTATACAACTGAAAATGCTGTTTTTAAATGGCGAATGGCTGCTCAAAATGAACTTGTTAAGCTTGACAATCTTCCTGCATATGAAGAACAACAAGGTGCCATGTCAGACACAAGTGGGTGTGTGCCAATTGATTTTTTCAAGACAAACCAGCTGAAACTAAAAAAGGCAGGTTATCCTGTTTTATGAGACAAAATATAAAAGCATGTTGGCCGTTACCTGGCATGACACTAAGAGAGTTCATCTGATATTTACTGTTTACTCCAATTATGCTAGGGACAAGACAGGAAGAGTGGAATCCTTGAGAGCAGAATAAAAAATAAGTCAGTTCTTGCAGAAAAATAAAACAGTATGAGGATGGGGGTGGTCGATCACTATGCTCAGCTGGCTGCAAACTCCCCTCCCCAGCTAGACCCTGTAACTGGTACCTGCCATTATATCATTTATTTATTTAATTTTAGTTTACACTGGTAAATGAGCATATAAGCTACAACACTGTCAACTCTGTGTAAAAGATCACAGCAAAGAGGTTCAGGCAGGATGTCAGTCTTGCTGTTAGTAGACCAGCTGTTCTTCAGCACAATGTAACACCTTCAAGATCACAACAAAGAGGTTCAGGCAGGATGTCAGTCTTGCTGTTAGTAGACCTGCTGTTCTTCATCACAATGTCACACCTTCAAGATCACAGCAAAGAGGTTCAGGCAGGATGTCAGTCTTGCTGTTAGTAGACCTGCTGTTGTTCAGCACAATGTAACACCTTCAAGATCACACTTCACAGCATGACGACTTACTTTGAAAAAAAAAAATAAAGCCAAGGTACAAACCAGACTGTAAAGTGTGTAAGGCTGCAGGTAAAAGAAGCTAGACTTGCATATTCCACCAAAGACAGAGGCTACTGCTACAGCTTCAGTTAATGAAGGCAGTAGCTCAGACTTTAACTAGAGGTGCTTTTATAATCAAACAATCACAAAAGAACATTTTTTTTTTACTTTATTCATATTTTTTATTTGCTTTTAATGTTGGTCAATCGTTAAAAAATTTCTTCTGTTCAGCTAATTTTGTTCATTGCCAACCATGTCTCCAACATTTTATTGCATTGACATTGAACAAATTCATTCAGAACTGGACAAAGATGGTGTTAAAACATCTCCGGAAATGTCTACAAATAACTAAACAAATTCAAGATGGCCACCACGAATACATCACTTTTTGCATAATGTAGCAACCATTCGTAATGGTGCTCTAAAGGTTTCAAAGCCCTATGCTTTTTTGAATATTTTTAAAAACAAATTTGATTAGAAAACCAGTCATTCTGGAAAAAATCTCCAAACACCCTTGGTTAGTTGGGGGGGGGGGGGGGGGGGGGGGGGGGGGGGGGGGGGGGGGGGGGGGGGGGGGGGGGAGATCAGTATTGACCCGGACTGCTGGTCAGGGAAGTGTTCCTCATTAAGTTGCTTTTTGCAACTTTCTTGTTAAGTTACAGTGGGTTTACTCTATGACAGAGTGCATTGTTCCTGGTTTAGTTCATGACAAATTTCCAAATGCACAATATGAAATTAGGTTTTACATACCACCAAAATAAGATCCAGTTGCGGTGGACATTCTCCACAGGCTAGTATAAATACCATTGGAAGACGGAGACCTCATTTCCACATGGACATCAGCCATCTGTCCAGGATCCAGTGGCTCCACCATCTTCCTTTCTGAGACGGCCAGGTTTTCTCCACCAATAAGTCGCATATGACAGCCTGGTGGCCAGCGGTCTAAGCCTGCTCGAAAGAAGATATTGTTGAATTAAACATACAAACTTATCTACAGCTACTGAGCCCTTTTGTGAAGCTAAAAACACCCCAATGACGGCGGGGTTCTCTACTTAATTCTACATAACATGTAGGGCTCTGAAGTTGACACAGCCTGAAAAAATAGGTACCAAATAATTTTTAGAATTCCTTGGAAGAAAAGGCAATGGGGAAGGGAACTGACACCATTAACTCATATGTCATGACCTAGAATATGTTAAGGCCTAACGCTATGCAATGGGATCTCCATAATATGTACTTGCCGGCAGAAGACTAGTCTTGTCTATGAAAATCAGGCATTTTATAAATTCGTTTTGTAGTGTGTTGCCAATATCTGCGACTGATACTGTAGTGTACTTACTCTGTGTGGGAGCCACGGTGGCGAAGCGGTTAGATGCTTTTCTGCAGATCTCACGGTTGTAGGTTCAAATCCTCATGAAGCTGGATTTTTTCATACATGTTCTTAGCTCCCAGCTTTAAATGGGTACCAGGTAAGTTCCTGGGAAGTAAAAGCAGCTGGCTTGATGTTGACGTTCGATGTGCCAAAGGTACCTTTATTTTAGCTTTTACTCACTTTATTGACTTAATACTACATCATGGGTGTTGAGACTGACCGATTGAATTAATAAAAATGGTGGCAACTACACCACCTCATTCAGCAATGTATTTAAAATCAAACTCTTGGAAATGTTGATATACAGAAAAAAAATGTCATATTTCCAGGAGGAAAAAAAGCAACAACAATCAAATACAGAGGTTCTGATCAGACTATCAATGGAAAGAGAATTATTCAAAGAAATAAAAAGGGACAAATTAAATATTTTGGCCACACTAAAAGATATAAATAACCCTCTTTTAAAAACCATAATATACATAGACGTCTCCTAATGGCAACATAAGGAACCAAACTGACCATATACTGTACAACAAGAAGTGGAGGACCTTGATAAAAGATGTATTTGCTAGAAGGAAACCTGACGTAGGGAGCGACCACAACATAGTGATTTGTAGGTTGAAGTTTAAAATAAGAAAAAGAAAGAAAAAGACAGTAAGCCCAGCTCAGGTCATTAAAAATCAGAGAATTTTTGTGCATCAAACTAAGAAACCAGCCTGAGGTGATTAACCACCTACCAGAGATGGCAAATATTGAAGAAGACTGGGCAGTCTACAGATGTGTATTGCAATGCCGCCCATAAATATTTGGGAAAGATGAAGAAAGATGTGAGAAAGGAATGGATATCTGAAGAATCTTGGTCAAAGATAGAAGGAAAAAAGAATGCAAAAGGATCAAATAAACCTTGCAAAGAGCACACTGGAAGAGATGGCCGCACACAGAAAGCTTATAACACCAAACATAAGAAGTAAAGAAAAGCTTGAAGAAAGACAAAAAGGAATACTTTGAACTCAAAGCTGCCAGAGAGGAAGAAGCAGCAATAACAGGTGATACTACAACATTGTATAAAATAACAAAAGATCATAGTCTGAAACATTTTAGATTTAATGAAGGAAACCTGAGACACACAACAGGAGAAATAATCACAGCAGAGAGAGTAAAGGTTGACAGATGGCAAGAATATTTTACCAAGTTGCTAAATAGGCCAGCATCAGAAATCCCCATGGAAAGAGTAGAAAACTGTGGCCAACTCCCAGAAATGGATATTGGGCCAATCAGCGTTACAGAAATAGAAATAGCAATAAGCAGTATGGAGAATAGGAAGGCTCCAGGTGAAGACCAAATTAGTACTGACATGTTAAAGCAGACCACAATTTACAGCAAAAGCTCTACATGGAATATTCAACAAAATATGGACAAATGAACTGGTCCCAACAGACTGGGAAAAAGGGTGTCATCATCCCATTACATAAGAAAGACATAGTAGGACTCAGGAAAACAGAATAATTCAGGATAACATTAGGATTCCAACAAGGGTGCATTCGGTCACCTTTCTTGTTTCTCACAGTGATAGATTATGTTATGAAGAAAGCAACCACAGGCACACGGAGGGCCTTCAATGCAACCTTCTCAAACACCTGGAACATTTAGATTTTTCAGACGATATCTGTTTTATCAGCCAAAGTAAGAAACATCCACACAAAAAAGACAGATGAGATCATAGAAATAGCAAAACAGACAAGGTTAAGAATCAATGTTAATAAAACAAAACTGCTGGAGATAAACCCTACAAGTGAAAGACCTAGATAATGTAGGTTTCGAAAAAGGGACTGACTTCACTAACCTGGGAAGCAATATCTCCTCAGATGCAAATGTAGTGGTTGAAATCAAGCAGAGAATTGCAAAGGCAAATGCTGCTTACAACAGATTTCAGAGTGTCTGGAGATCAAACATCTACAGCACTAAAACTAAACTCAGGATGTACAAAACATGTGAAAGAACAGTTGTTCTTTGTGGAACAGAAACTTGAAAAACAAGACAGAAAGATGCTCAGAGGTTTTGAGGGAAAACTTCTCAAAAGATTGTTGGGGTTCATATGAAATATAAAAATCAACAATTCTAGATTACAAACAAATGACAGACTTAGAAGATGTAAATTTAGAAATAAAAAAAAAATGAAGATGGAGGTAGACTGAACACATCCTTAGAATTAAAAAAGAGAGACGGCAGAGACAGGCAATGCAATGGACACAAGGACAGCGAGGAAAGGTCCAAAGGCAAACTTTCTGAGGCTAAACCCAAGGCTACATGAAAGACAAAACTGGAAATTGAGAGGACGGCTCAGGATCGAATTGAATGGCGACAGTTTGTCTCTGCCTTATGTGCCTCTGAGAGCGATGAGGACTGATTGAAAAACCATAGTGGAGACAGCAAGAAGTAGGCAATAATACAACTGGAAGAGATGGACAAACAGCAATGTGAGAGAGAGTACAACAAAGACAGAGCATGCTGAAGATCCATCGCTGCCAATTTTCACTGTGAAGAAGACACCTGCCTGATTAATGATGGGTGTACAGGGAACCTGAAAAGTTCACCTTATTATGAGATGATCTAGTATATGTGAAAGCAACTACAACAGGCTACTACAGCAGCAGACGTCATGTGATTACCTTTATGGTTCAACTAGATTTATAGCCTTCTACATTACTGTGCCAAGAATTTTGACATATCACAGGCGTGATCCCAGAATTTTGGAGTCTCCCCCAGCTGTGTTCACATTCAATGCTTGTCAAACAACAAGAACATAAACAATGAAAACACCACAATTTATCCAACAAGGTCTCTGTGAAAAGTTCCAAAAAAGGATAGTCACTGAATTTGTAAGTCCAGGCACCTGAGTTTTTGATTCGCCAGGATTTGACAAAATTTGTGTTTGCTGCCACAGCCTCTCCATTTCCTACAGTCACGTCTGCCAGGACTGTCATGGATGGCAAGGGGCTCGAGGGCTGCTCAAAGTCATAATATGAACATACTGCATTCTGAAGATTCCTGTAATTGGATAGAAAAAAAAAACAATCAAAAAGAGAAAACTAATAAAATATATATACATTGACATTTTTCACCGTGTGGGTTCCAGGGGCCTCTTTTGGGTCACACACACAAAATAACAGGCCCACAGCGACTCATTCGGGGTTCGCTGTATTTAAATGCGTTGGGCTGAAAGGCACAGATATTGCAGCCTAGCTGTGAACCACAAAATGTCAACCCCATTTTTAATGCTGAATGCAGAAGAAGAAACAATATTATAAATGGTGTCTAATACACTGCAGACCTGATAAGGAGAATTCACTAGAAGCCCAAGAAATAGCTCTTCTTATCAGAAATGCCTCTTAACAAGATAACATTTCAAGCAAGAATAATTGCCAGGGATAAACAATTGTTCTTCACAACAGAAATTCGCCACATCTAAGATCACCTTGAGCGGTCTGTACTGTACCAGATGCAGACATCTACATATGTTTGATACATATCTTTTACTGTCATATCTGAAGAGCCTCCAACTATTACTGAAGTAACTAAAGTGCTGCACTAGAAAGAATTTGCAGTAACAACTAGCTGGACTGAAAAGTAAAGGACCCTTTTCTGCACCTTCTGCCATACTGGGCACATTCGGCTAGACCTCTATTTTACAGAATAATCGACACTTCGCTGGTGCCGGCATTTTTACTTCCCAGAAGTGTACCTAGTACTCACTCAAGGCTAGGTCGACCTGGGAGCCAAGGTAATTTAAAAAAAAAAAGTCAGGCTTTGCAGGGATCCGAACCCATGACCTTCCTATTACCAGACGAGTGTCTAGCAATTACAGCAAGGTGGCTACCGCTCCACCATGTATGAGTTAATAAATTGGTGCATGCACAGAAAAAGGGAATTAAATGATATAATAGAAATCATGAATGTTGAGCTGTGGAAGGGGACTAAATAAATTCCGGCTATCCTCCGAATAACGGTCCCAAATTATCGAGGCCGAAAAAATACCCTAACAAGGCCTTAGTCACATGTAAATTGCGGACTCTTTTCGGCGACTACACAGCATACCGCCGAGAGTATCTCCCCCGCAGGGCGGGACTAAACTAGATGGCTGGGACTCACAAGCAAATAAAATGAAAGAAGCTGCAGGAGATGCTGTAGCTGCTGCTCGTGAGTCCCAGCCATCGAGTCTAGCCCCACTCTGCACCGTGCGTAGTGGCACGGGAGATATTCTCGGCTGTGACTAACTCTGCGGAAACTTTTCTGCAGTATGCTGTGTACTCGCCGGAAATAGTCCGCAATTTACATGTGACTGAGGCCCTGTTAGGGTATATTTTCGGCCCCAATAATTTGGGACCGTTATTCAGAGAAGAGCCCAAATTCCAGTGAATCAGGAGGTGAGGAAAAAATTGTGGCAGTGGATAGAAAACATGTTGAGAAAACTTGATAACAATACAACTAGAATGTCTTTGCATGGGACCCAGTGTCATGGAATAAAGTCAGAGTAAGAGACACTTTAAAGAAGTCACAAAGATGGGCAGGGGTCAACTTGGCATGAGATGGTTGAGAGCCTATGCTCCACTTGGGGGTAAAAGACAGACCCAAATGTTTTACACCACACAAATGTTATTTCTGGTGTGTGTTCATTTTATTAGCACGTAGGTTTTTCATTTGAAGTGAGACATGAGTGATTTGTCAGTGTCAGATGTCATCACTGGATTACTGACATGATCATGATCACTAGTTTATTTATCTCTCAGTCAGTCGGTTATTTCGCTACAATATCTGCGTCAAGATGAGCAGTAACAGCTGTGGAAGAGTAGGATTACTTAACAACTGTCTGGAAGCGACGTAGTTAGAGAGGAAGGAAGGTCACGCGGCTAGAAGGACATTAAAACGTGTTTAAAAAAAGGTGTTCCATGTTGTAAGTAAGTGTAACAACACAACGATGCTGAGTCATCCACGTAAGCACCCAGGTAATCCCAGTTACACATACAACAGCAATAACATAACAATTCTCGCTTCAAACGAAGCCTGGGATACAATAACTCCCTCGACCAGCTCTCTGACAGCGACCCCCGATAACAAACACACCAACCAACCAGTTGTTCATGTCCAGGAAAAATGCGCATATATCTGGGCTCATCTTGTTGCCCAAGACGGCCTGGAATTCTGCGATCAGCACATCGCGGTCAGTGGTGCCCAGAGATCGGAACTGCTCCAGCAGTCTGCCATCAATGTCACCGAAATCATTCTCGATATACTCCATAGTTTTTAGAGCCCCATGGGAGGCAGGACCAAGAGAATTCAGAGAGAAGAGATCCCCTTCATGGCGGATGATGGCGTCGTCTGCCCTTTGCTTGCTCCTGACACACCGGAAGTTTTTGTGGGTATGGAAGTCTGCGCATGCTCAGAGGTTAAAGGCCACTGACTATGTTATGTAAATTAGCCACGCTAGCCCGTGTTTACAAACACTTCCTTTTCTGGAAATATTAATTTTCCATGGCAACCCAGTCTGGGGAGTACATTCAGTAGCAAGGTCAGGGGACAACTGGCGCGGAACATTTCCTCTCACCCCACCACACCCTATATATACAGATTTGTTGTTGCTATTTTGTTACACCCTCTATGACCATATGTCCGGCTGAAAACGGGACATCCAAGATCGCTTTAAACCCCCCCCCCCCCCACCATGGGGAAGGTAATCGGGCTGTAAGGATTAATTAGTCGCTCAACAATAGTATTAAGCCTGAAAGACGTGATACAATAAGTTATCTAGTATACTTAGTCCGTAGTACGCAGTAAGGCTTTATTTTTTAATTGCATCACTTTTTTTCCGCACCACTGTAATAGATTCTTCTTCTTTTTCTTCTTGTTTGTCTGCGTGTGTGTCTGCGAATGAATGCGTCTGTGTCATTGTGTATGTGTGCGAATGTGTGTGTTCGCGCGTATGTCCACGTGTATGTTTCAGTGTGAATTGGTCTGTGTGTGTTTCTGTGTGTTTAAGTGTGCCTCTTTGCTGTGTATGTGTGTCTGCGTGTGTGTGTGCGATTGGATACATGTAAGCTGTGTATATGTGTCTGTGTGTGTCTCTCTGTGTTTGTTTGCATGTGTATGTGTCTCGGTGTTTTTTGTGTGCATATTTGATGTGACTGTGTGTATATCTTCGTTTGTGTCTGTGTGTGTCCCCGTATGTGTTTGTCTTCATGTTTGCCTGTGTGTTTATGTGTTTTGTCTGCGGGTGTGTCTATGAGGCTGTATATATGTATCTCTGTGTGTGGGTGTCTGTATGTCTGTCTGCGTGAGTGTATGTATCAGCATGTGTCTGTCTGTGCATGTCTATGTGTGTTTCTCTGTGTGTGTTGTGTGTGCCCCTTTGTTGTCTGTATATGTCTGCATGTCAGAGTATATGTCTGTGCGTGCTGAACATATGTGTCTGCGTGTGTATTTCTATGTGTTTGCATGTGTATGCACTTCTGCGTGTTTGTCTCTGTGGGTGTCAGTATGGGTTTGTCTGCCTGTTTGTGTGTGTGTGTGTGTGTGTGTGTTTGACTGCGTGTGTGTCTATGTGGCTGTATGTATGTGTCTGCATGTTTGTCTGCGTGTGTGTGTGGTGTGTTTGTCAGTGTGTGAGCACGAATGTAAATATGTGTGCTGTGTGTTTCCCTGTGTGTGTTTATATGTAAGTGTCTGTATGTGTGTCTGTATTTTTGTCTGAGTGTGTGTGTCTCTGTGGGAGTGTCCGTGTGTGCATGTGTGTGTCTCCATGCATGACTGTATTTATGACTGTATGTTTGTATGTGTGTATGCCTGTATTATGTATGTATGAATGTATGTATATATGCCTGTATGTTTGTATCTTTGTATGTATGTTTGTGTGTATGTATGCCTGTGTGTATGCATGTTTGTTTGTATGTATTTGTGTATGTATGTATGCCTGTAAGTGTGTATGTATGCAATGTATGCATGTATGTGTGTGTAAGTGAGTGGGTGAGCGTGTGTATGTGGGTGTATGTATGCACGCGCGGGTTTTTGCATGCACTTTACAACTCATGCTTTTGTGTTCTTTTATAATGTTCATAATATGCATATCATCATATGATCATAACACGCTTTATTAGTAAAAAACAATTGCTGTTTGAAAGATGGTTGACTGGAAGGGCCGAATGTAAGACGGGCCTGCGTGCCCAATTTGTGACCCTTTGAAAATAAAGTTCGTTCGTTCGTTCGTTCTTCTTCTTCTTCTTCTTCTTCTTCTTCTTCTTCTTCTTCTTCTTCTTTTTCTTCTTCTTCTTCACTTTCACCGGCTGTAAACTCTAGCGTTAAGGTTGATTGTGCGTTCATTAGTGTTGCGTGCATATCCGTTTTACAGATTTGGCTCATCTGCACGCAGACTGTTGGCGCATTGACTCCGAGTCAGATCTTTGTTATGAATATCAATGGTCTCTAAACTGGGAAGCGCGCCTCTAGGGCTCTCCACGGTCACAGCAAGTCGAGCCAAAAGCAGGTGCCAGAGACAAGGCACGTGATATTCGAAGCCAAAACCCGAGGTTGGCTCGTGGTCAGTTGGGAGCCAGAGCTCAAAGAAGACGTTTTGAGGTGCTGATGTAGTAACTGACATGTCTTAACGTCGTGTAAAAGATAATCGCCTAGGTCTTGGAGTCAGGAGTAGCGATGTTGAGAACTGAATAACTGTGAGATGTGGTAATCCGGAAGAAAAAACGGACTGAATGCGTATCTGGAAATTGACTGCTGTTCAGGTTATTTATTGAAGAAAGTTGTGTCTGTTCCGTAGCAAGCCAGAAGAAACAAAGCAAGCTTTACTACTGCCATCATGAATACAAGCGAGCGAACTTTTTTACCATACGGATATTGACTTTCGACCCAATATGGAGAACAGTGTTTAGTGCACCATGCTGTCGAAGCAGGTAGCTTTTAAACATTTTGGGTTAGTTGCACTTGCGAACTAACACTGGCAAGGTTTGTTAAGTTTAGAAAAGGTCTGACATACGGCCGGCTGGCTAACCGAGGAAAGGCATCGATCGCTTTGAACTGGTTCTGTGAACGGTCTGGCTTAGTTAGCTGCCAGCAACACGATCTACACAGGCGACCAGCTTTAGATTTCCAAGGACGTCACAGAAGCCTCGGTATACAGAACAATACCGAGCCAAGAATCACCAGAGGAAGGAACAACGCCCTAGGTAATTATAATTTAGTTATTAACATTTTAAACCGTAACTTAGGGCGTGCTTTTAACCTCTAAAAACAATCGTAAACTTTACCAATTACCAAAGAAAATGGAAACAACGCGTAGAAGGAGGGCCAGTTCAAAAACTGACAAACCAGGATCACCAGCACATAGGGCCACTCCCCCAGGAGCCGCCCTTTCGAGGGCGCCTGAAGCCGCCTCAGTAGTGGCACAAGGGACCCCCCCCCCCCCCCGCCTATACAAGCAGCGGTACCCTGAGACCAACACCCCAGACATCATGCAGTGCTCACGCTGCAATAGGGCGTGGCATACAGCCTCGTCCTGCCGCACCAGCCTATCGTGCAGATACTGTTCTGGGGCCCACGATTTCAAGGAGTGTCCGCTAGCCAAAATTGACACCAATTTCAAAAAGCCGAACAGCAACCGTAAGTGCTCCAACTGTTCTGGTGCGCACGGCGCGAGATACATGGGCTGCCCGTATCTCCAGCAGTGCAAGAAGGCACTAACAACAGCCCACGAGATAGCCAAAAAGAGATACGAGGCACCCAGGTTTCCAATAGCATCAAAGCAACCAAGAGGGAAGTCAACACAGCAAATAAAGTGGCTAGCAGAGGCTGAACAAACGCAGAAAAACCTGCTAGAAATGACACTGAATCTCCAAGCAGAAAAAGCAGCAGAAGAGACCCGCCAACAAGAAGAAAGGGAGGAGAGAAGAAAGGAAACCGCAGAACTCAAGGAAGCTCGAGAATGCGCTTATAAAGAAGTCGCCCTAATGGTTCAGGCAAAAGCAGAAGCCGAAGCTGCAGAGCTAGCGGCAAGAACGGAGCGTGTCCTGCTAGAGAAGGAAAGAGAAGCCTCCAGCAAAGCGGTAAAGAAACCAAGTATCAGCAGGTCCGACAAATCTACATACACAGACAATATAACGCAGAATGTCTACAGTAGCACAACCACCCAAATCACAGCCTCTGAAACAGGAACAATAACTGATGATGAAAGCCTTGAGAGCATGGAGGCCAACTTTAAAGAAATGCTCCGAAAAGATATTCCCACACAGAATGGAGGCGTCATCACTCACAGTGCACGTTTACAACGACCAGGGCTGGGTGAAGGAAGAGTTTCGTCTGCCAAAAGCTGAACACCTGAAAGTGCGTACTATTATACACAGACTATCCGAAGAACTACAAAAAGCCTTAAACATACTAGTAAAAAAAGAGAGAAGAGGTACGGAGACTAGCAACAATAACCCTGGATAGCCAGCACCACCCCACAGGAGCCACACCCACCTGCTCTAGCCCCACTGGCAAATAACTACGTAAATACCATAGAGCTAACAAAAAATCTTAACCTAGTATATTTTCAGGAAAAAGAAGACAACGGAAACTACCACAGGCCACCCGACGTTCCGAAGCAGATAGCCGAGGGCATTGCACCTAGGGGGACCAGCACTTGGGAGTTCCAGTCTCTCTCATGCCACCCCACCCCACCCCACAGGTATTTTAACAAATGCCTTTCACTTTTTTTTTCAGACCAAGGGATCTCAACCCACCAGGAGTGGAATTCATCTATCTGAAGCCACCTGTCGCTCTCATTCTCCCGACCTAACTATCACATCTCCTGGCACATTCGTGCAAATTACATCTCATTTGCAGCCTACCTCACCTCCACTACTTCTCCACACTGTGAAAAAAAAAAAAAAAAAACGGGCTGATCACAACAACAGATTGTGACGGCCCTAGTTGTCCTGAAAAGGAGCATTGTTTGAGACGTTGTGACCCGGTGTTTGTTTGGCTTTTCCCGGCGGCTTTACAGAACGGCAACCAAGCAGCAATAGGGCACCAGCACAGCGATCAGCACGAGGTAAACCAAGCACCAGCAACATTCAGCTAAAACCCACAGATTTCATCACTTGAGAACTGGCCCACTCCAGATCCAAAAACCACAAGCACCACACCGCAGCAAGGAAGCAAAGAATCGGAATATCAGGTGTGACTACACACCACAAATAAAAGGAAATCAAATAAGACAGCCAAGGAACCTTTCTTTATATAGCAGGCCTCTGG